CTCAAGAAAGAAAAAGAGTATCCAATGTACTCAATACTATTATGAAACCAATATATGAACACTTGCACACTCATATGAAGGAAAAAACATAAATATAGTCTAGCAAGGGGGAGAGGAGACGAGAGAGAGGGGAGGGAGGGTGGAGGGTGTTTGGTGGGAGGAGGGGAGCATTTGGTGGGATCTCACCTAATGTGCACAACGCAAGGGGACACTTCAAAATAACTAAGGGCAAATTATAAATGTCTTACCACAAAAATAAGTGAGATGATGGTTATGTTAATCAGTTTGATTTAAGCATCTCACTTTGTATATCAACTCATCACATTGTACCCCATAAATGTATACAGTTATGATTTAATAAAAAATTAAATTAAAAAAAAAAGGGCCAGCACAACAGTTTCTTAAACCTGTTCTTTCCCATTACCCGCACCAGCTCTAAAGGGTGGAGACCCAGGAGGCTCTGAGCTGAGGGGAACAGAAGGGTGGGGGCAGGTGAGTTTGCCCCAGGCCTGGACTTTGGGTGGAGCTGCACTGAGCCAGCTCTGCACACAGCAGAGCCCAGGGCAGAAAGGGCAGTGAGGCTGGGCTGGAGTTGTGGCGGACTGAGGGATAGAGTTTGAAGGGTAGAGCAGGCCCTGGAGAAATCTCAACCCCTCCCTCCCTCAGAGGATTTTCATCTTCTGAAATAATCTGCTCAGAAGAAAACAGAAAATGCTCATGGCTAATGTGATACTTGCTCTGAGTGGTTGTAATCAATGTCTTTGGATCAAACTAAGCCTAGATCAGTAGAAATGCCACCTCCTCCAGGAAGCCCACCCTGTCTCCCCTTTTCAACCCCTAGCTCTGTGGCCTTGCCTGGGCTGCCTCTTGTCACCTCATGAAGGTGACAGCTGTGCACTCACGTGTCCTTGACACCTTCCTCTCCCATCACTCTGCTTTCCACACCCTGGCCTCCGGGGACATCCATCATCATCCCATGTTCCCATTCTTCAGCAGGCCATGTGCACCTGCTATTCTCCTGCCAGCAACACTGTTCCCCCACCTCCACCCTCCCCTTTGTCATCCTGCTCAGCTCAAATGTTCCTTCCCCTGGAAACCCTTCCTAACCTCCACCCCACCTCGTCCCTGTAAAGGGTAAATGAAAATCTCAGGAACCACCCCCCCAATATTTATTATGCCAAAAAGGAGAACTGAGTCACAAAAGCACTGCTGTCCTCTCCCCAGTGAGCTACAGGGGTCCTCTTTTAAGAAATGAAAGGACTTAGAAAATGACTAAACAGGTTTTATTTTTGGTGGACAGGGTCGGGGAGGGAGAAAGGAAGCCTGCCTGGCCTCATTATAAGAGCCCTCAGGGAAATGCTTTTATTCAGACCTTTAAAGGTGTTAGAATAAAACCTATGCCAGATCAAATTACACCAGGCCTGGCTGCATTTAACACAGATTTTCTGCATATGCAAATTTCCCCAGCCTCCCCACCTGGCCAGCCTTACAGCATTACTCCTGTTTATCCGCAGCCACTTCAAAATAGGTCAGAGAGCTATAGAGGATATTTGGGGGTAAAATTTTTATTTCTTTCAGCTCTCCCCCCAAATCCTTCAAGATTCACAGGCCCTATAAAATGAACACATGTCAATTACAACCGTAGGACTGTAGGTGGAATAAACTCTTAAATCTGGATTCCAACTTACCTTTACAAACGCAAATCAGGAAGAGATATGATCACCCTTTTACCCACTCTGAGAAGGTTCACAACACTGAATGTTTATTCCCTTTCATTCCATGTTCATCTTATCCTTGGGCAGATTCATGCGCACCGCGTATAACTTCACAAGAATACCTCTGCTCACCTCCTTCCCCGACCCTTTTCCCTGTGCGCTCCCTTGAATGTTTGGAAGTTCTCACTCTCTTCTAGAGCCCAGAACACAACAGACGCTTGTGGGCTGTACTTTTCCCAGACTCATCCTCCAAATCTTGGCTTAATAAACCCCAAGTGGTTGTGACTCTAGTTTTCAGTCACTTATTCTTTAAGTTAACATCCCCATCACAGTCAACCCAGAGTCCTGAACTCCTCCAGGGCACAACCACAGGGCGCGGCTGCTGGCACGTATGCCTCTCACCACCGACCAGAACGGGGTGGTTTAGTTCGCCAAAGAAGGAGCTCAGGAAACAGCTGAGAACGGGGGGGGGGGGAATAAAGGCAAGAAGACTGCCCCTGTCAGTCCCTCTCTGCAAAAGGGGGTGTCTGGCTAGATGAGTTAACGTTCGGAACAGCACAGGGATAGGTATGAGTGCTCAAAACTGATACAGTTTCTTTCTACCCCAAGCCCCAGCGCAGGGATTTTAGTGACGCTGTGTCCGGAGGAGGTGCCAGCGCGGTTAAGAGATGGTGGCGCGCCCTCTGGTGGTGAAATGTTCAACTGCGGGGCTCGGGCCCGCGGAGCGCTTGCTGGCGACGGTGGGTGACCTGTGTTTCCAGAGCTTGTTATAGCGCGGTTTCCCGGGCCCGCCCTGCCTCAACCCCGTCCGTGATTCTGATTCAAGACCTTGGGCAAAGCCTGTGTAATTCGCCACTTTTAATAAGTACTTCTCTTATGGAGGGTTCTAGGGCCACATTTTAAGGAATGCCAGTCCTGGGCAAAAGGCCGTGGAACCCTTCCGATTTTCAGAGCCTCGGTGGTCTCCGCTGCGGCCGTGGGGTGGCCTCAGGAGCAGCTGAGTTCTCTTAGAGATGCACAGCCCTCTGGCCCAGGGGGAGAGTCCAGCCCTCTTTGAGGGGAAAATGTGTTTTGGAGCTGTCTCCTGGCTGGCTGTACAGTTGACTGAGGTTAAATCTCATAGTAATAGTCAAAAGTGGAGGTTAAGAGCTTGGCCTTTGGAAGCAGAAATTTCTGCGTTCAAATCCTAGCCCTCCCATTTACCAGCTGTGTGACCTCAAACCTCTCTGGGCCTCCACCAGCTACTCCAAAGGCAAATCTCTTAGGATTCCTAGGATGATTTAATGTGGCCACAACATCAAATATGCGAGCCAGCACACCGGATATTGTTACAGTTTTTGTAATTATTGTTATTTATTCAACAGACCTTTACAAAGGACTTGTTCTGTGCTCAGCAGTGTGCTAACCAATGGAAGGTAGAGAGGATGGGAAAGCACAGAAAGAGAGGAATAAAATGTTGTCCTTGTTTCCAAAGAGCCCTCAGGCTAGGAGGGACACCAAAGGGTGGTCTGAATGCATGTCCAGCCTCAGCCTCTGCCCAACTCCAACCAGATAAGAAACCCTAGCAATAATGACAAACTAGTGTTGTTTTATGCCACTAGATTTAGGGGTGGTTTGTTACCCAGAAATACCAAACAAAATGTGTCCACGTGTCCAAAAGTCAGATAGAAATTGATGAATTTAAGAGAGGGACAAAGAAATAGATGCAGAGTTCCCAGGGAGTCTGCACAGTCCACCTGTACCTTTTCACATTTCCAGACAAGCTTCAGGCTCCAGGCCCCTGCACCCCTCACTGCAGGAGCACACACTGTGTTTCATGAGTGCTTTGTTGAAGGCCCTCACTCTGAAGATAGTATAGGGAAGCACTGCCCTCTTTCCTCTCCTTCTCAGTCTCACCTCTCACCACTTTTCGAACCTCTTCCATGTGGGTAAAGCATTTAAGAGTCCAGAGACCTGTACTTAACCACCTACTGTGAAATTTTTGCATGAGGATCACTTTGGCCTGTATCTATCACATGCATGCACCCCATTTTTTAAAAGGCTGCAAGGCAACCAGTTGTATCTAGTTATTGGTAAACAGCACATTTGCCAGGGGCTTTATTTTCTTCTCTACATGTTTGTATTGTCCCCAATTTTTCCTAGCAAACACTATTCTTATGTTGCCAATAAAATTCAAAACCACAACAGCATTTTTAAGGGCAGATATCTGGGCTCTATCTGGAATGTAGGAAATGAGAAGGGAATTGAGGACGGTTAAGGCAGAGGGCAGCTTAACTGGAGCCCTGGGCTGGTATTAGAGGATAAGTCAGACACCAAGAAAAGATGAGTTTGGGCTCAAGTTCCAGTGGTGCAGAGGAGGGTCACCAGGGGTGGGAATCATGTCTACAGCACAGTTCAGGCAGCTGTTGGGACACTGGGAAAAGCAGCTCTCTCTGGGGGAACCTTAGTGCTGCCCCTGCTGTAACCCCCCACCATTTCTGAGGGACAAAGATGAGTGGTCCTCAGCTTCCCTACACCCGCCCTGTGCTTCCCAATCAGACAGCTCATCCCTGCTTTCTTACACCAGTACTGGCTGAGATCCCTGCTGTTTTCAGGACCACAACACTCCCCCAGCTTTGAGCAGAGACTTTGGCATCTCCTCATTCATTCATTATTCATTGACTGGCTTTCATTCTCTAGACCAGGTCTGTCCTGATGTGACAGCTCAGATATGCCTGTGACATGGTTCTTTGTCCTCTGGGGCCTTCCAGATATTTAACAAGAAACCTTTGCTCTTCCAATGTAGCAGGTAAGGTTTAACAATCCCAAAGGCCCCTCCTCAGGCCTTAGGAGAAGAAGCATCCAGCTTCTGGGGGGCAGAATTGGTGGCTAAGCCCAGCCTGCCACGGTGCTGATGGCTGTCAGCCTCCCTTTCTGGACCGTCCAAGACCAGTGGCTTCCACTGGTCCACAGGTCTTTTCCATCTTTTCATCACCTGGACCTACCCTTTATGGAAGAAAATAACTGGTCACACGTAAGGGCTGCATGTACCTCATGGGATTCATGTGCATGTTTTAGGCAAAGCTTTCTTGGGATACTTTATCAGGACTGCAACTCAGCAGAGTTTAACCACACTTTGTCAGCCATATTTACACACATGGGAGTGAATTAATAGTGTACAACTCATCTGGAATAGGAGGGTGGAATGACATGTGCCATTGCCAGACACTATTCTAAGCACTTTGCAGATGTCAAATCACTGACTCCTCATGACAACCTTGAGATTTAGGGACAATTATTACCCACAGTTTACTGATGAGGACATCAAAGCAGAATACGCAGCTTAACCAGCGGTGAAGTCAGAATTCAACCCGGGCAGGTTATTTCTCCACCACTGCTGGAACCAGAAGAGAAGGAGGAACCACACTTGCTGTGGGGCTCAGCACGCTCAATGATGTCCCCCTGCACCTCATGTCGGCCATTCTTGGTAAGTGACTAGTGCCTGTAATTTGAGGTTTAGAGCAGTGATTTTAAACTGGTGTACTGTGAGAGGAACTTAGCTATGCTGTGAAAATTTGTAAGTTCATTAATCAAATTCTTTTTGAAAGAAGTTCAAAGCACAATAAGTATATTCTTTACTTTAGTCCTTCTTATTTTGCTCAGCATAATTTAAGTGTGCCGTGGAAGTAACCATAGGTTCAAGTGTGCTGTGAGATGAAACGTTGAAAAACACTGGTGTAGAGAGTCAGTGGTGGCAGAGCCTCTCTGACTCCAAGGCCCAACCTCTGCCCAGAGCGTCACAGGGGCAGGTGCCAGGAACCAAAGGGCAGTGACTATGTGCTCACAGCAGGGACAAGCTGCCCATACTCTGGGCTGTCGTCAAACACACTGACCCCTGGAATCTGCCGCATCAGCCCCTAACTGACTGCAGAAATCAGGCTGAGGGAGTAAAACCCAACTTGTAGACTGTTGCATAGGGAATTTATTCCCACCTTTATGAAACCAAAACTCAACAACCATCATTCACTCATTCATTCATTCGCTCAGGAGCTAACATACCACGTGCCACATCCTGCCCCAGCAGTTGGGTGTGCCAGCCCACAAAGCTGGAGCTGCTATTCTGGTGACATTAAAGATTTGCCCAAGTGGAGGCAAAGCTCCCAGGAGATGCCCAGAAAGAACACAGTCCAGCTGCCCTGGTGCAAACTCTAACTCTGGAATCTGAGCTGACAACTTCCCTGGGCTAACATTTTCTTATGTGTGAAATGGGCTAAGGATAGTATTCCTCGTGTATGTGTGTGCATGTGTGTGTGTGTGTGTGTGTGTGACAGAGAGAGAGAGAGAGAGAGGTGAGAGCAGGCAGGAGAGAACTAAACGGGGTTATACCTCTCCTGCTGCCTGACCTATCGGCAGTGTTGACCAGTTTGGGACCCCAGGCTGGCTGGGCCCAGGACTGGGCTTGCACCTGCTCTGTCCGTCCCATGTTCCACCTCGCTCAGGGACCCCAGCTTATCCTGATGCTCAGTGGTGTGTGTTCCACTGGGGTTAAGGCCCGAAGGACCTGGAAACACTTTCTTCTAAAGGAAGCTTGAAGAGTCCAAGTTATCTCATTCAGGACCCCCAAGGCCACATCACTCCCTGTATCTTTTCTGCTTGAGAAAAGTGCTGGGGTGCAGAGGCTCACTGGTTACGGAAAGAGAGCAGGTTTAACTCCAGTGTCAAAGAAAAACACACACAAGTTAAATTATTCCTGACTCAAGGAGGGGGTCTGGCCTCGTCCCCTGATACCCTTGCTCTGGGATGCACTGTCCTTACAGTTCAACTCAGGAAATCTTAGCGGACTCCATGCTCACAAGTCATGTAGTCCAGGATTACCTGGCAGGACCAGCCCACAGAGAGCAGGTTCTCGCCACTTCCATGTTCTACCATTCCTTGCCATTCCCTGGAAGCTCCTTACCTCATCTGGGGAGGTGCTGGAATCTGCCGCCCTGGTCTGCTGCAGCCCCTTACTGTGCAGGTAGGAGGTGACTGAGGGCCTGAGAGGGTGTCCCTGGGCCTAAGTTCACACAGCACATGAAGGGCCTCAGGGAGAAGCAAGGGCCAGGCCATCCTCCAAGCCCTGCACAGAGACAGAGAGGTGAGCCCTCTTGGGGTTCCCTAGTAAAGAAGAGTAGATGTTCTTTTGGGAGGAGGGGAGCCAGTTCCCAGTGAGGTCTCTCTATCCAGTGCCCATGGATCTGTTCATTAATAATTACCTGACTGAGGAGGCAGTAGGTAGGGCTGAGAGGCCCTTATTTTTCCAATCCTCCTGGGACTGATAGGTCATCTCTAGAGCACAGACAGTCACCCAGGGACCACTCCAGGACTGACTGTAAGTAACCCTCTGAGCCATGGAGATGGGGAAGACTCCAAAAGGAGAGTGACCAGCTATCCCAGTTTGCCTAAGATGGAGAGTTCTCCTGGGACATGGGACTTTGGGTGCTAAAACCAGGAAAGTCCTGGGCAAGCTGGGATGGCTGGTCACTCTCACCGCAGAGGTGAGAGATGCTCAGGGTAGAAAGACCCTGACACCTGACTATACCCAGCCTCCCTGCTGCACTGGTGGGAAAATGCACAGACCTGGATGATTGTCTCCCAGGGACATGCAACTCATTTAGGGCAGCACTGGCCTAGACTCAGGTCTGCCAGCCCCTAATCCAGGTGCTTTGGGGGAGCTCATGCCCAAGGACAACTGTGCACTGTAAGGTCACAGAGGGATATGTGAGTGTCAAGAGGCTGGTTATAGGTTGGTAGTCAGCCATGAGGAGGAGGGAAATTGAGTAGGTGAGTGGCATGGTCTCAGATATGATTTTATTATTTTTTTCTTTTTTGAGACAGAGCCTCAAGCTATCACCCTGGGTAGAGTGCAGTGGCATCGCAGGCATCCTCAAACTATGGCCCACGGGCCACATGCAGCTGGCATAGGACATTTATCCAGCCCGCTGGGTGTTTTTGCTGCCACTGCCTGTCCTGCTTAGCAGCTGACTCATCCCGGGGCCCACAGTCTGGCCCTCCAACAGTCCAAGGGACAGTGAACTGGCCCCCTGTTTAAAAAGTTTGAGGACCCCTGACTTAAAGCAAGCTCTTCTAGGTCCTAGTCCAGTGTGTTTCCTAATACACTGGTTCACTTGGGCCTTACTCGGGACTTAAACCAAAGCTTAGAACAATACCTAACATATAACAGCCCTGACTGAATATTAGCTGAATTAATTAATGCAGCACCTTTGCTAGCCCAGCAAACTCCAAACCTGAATCAAAGTTCGACTTCATCTTTTCCATGGAAAAGTAACACTGCTGTTCAGAGTGGTACTAATATGAACAAGATTACACTGGCAGGCTGTGAGTACCTGTTCTCACTCCTTCCACCTGCCCTTGTTCAGCTTTTCCTCATAGCTACGCAACTCTTCCAAACACTTATCACTCTCCTTCTCCAACCTATTCAACCTTGGCCCTTCTAAATCTTAGCCTTGACCTTCATATTCTACATCATAAAGAAAATCAAGGTTAAAAAAGTGTGATGAGATCTCATTACCTCTGTTCCAACACCTCCATACTTATCCTAATGCCTGTATGTATCTTTAATCCTGCTTTGGAGAATGAATGGTTCAACTTTCCCCCAGCCTGAAACATACTTGGGCCCAAGTCCTCCTGTACTTATTTACTGTTCAATGTCATTCTGTCCCCTCTTGCCTGAACTTCCTGAGGATGGTTTACATTTCCTCGGCTCTCATTCTTTTTTCAATCCATTGTAGTCTCCATTTTGTCACATCAAATCGAGAAACCTCTCTTTCCAGTTACCAATAATCCCCTACCCTTAACTATCAGTGGATAGTTTTGTCCTATGTGCAGACTGATCACTCCACCCAGAATACCTTGTCCTTCTTCCTCATTAACGTGCTGCCTACATATTGTTTAAAATTCAGCTCAGCAGGCACACTGACAGGTGCCTGTAGCCCCAACTACTGGAAAGGCTGAGGCAGAAGAAATAAAAAGATTAAACATTATTACTTACTGGGTAACAACAGTATTGTCCATCAAAATGTAATTTAAATACAAATTGGAGGAATGGATAAACAAAGCATGCTATATCCATACTATAGACTCATCCACTGCACTTCCTGCCCACAGAGCTAGAGCCACAGCACGCTGCCCTCTCAGGGTGTTAGAGCCACCTCACCCTAGGGGCATAGAGACACCCTGCCCTCAGGGCACAGAGCAAACTTGCCCTCAGGGAACAGAGCAAACTTGCCCCCAGGGCACAGGGCAAACTCACCCTCAGGGCGTATGGCAAGCTCGCCCCCAGGGCACAGGGCAAACTCGCGCCCAGGGCATAAGGCAAA